GAACTATCCATTGTTAAGTTTTAAGTTTTTCTCTATGACTTACATGTACTGCTGCATGCTTTAATGTGGATTCCTATCTTAATAAGTTCTTTGATTTTTTAAAGTACCCCACCCCACTTCTGACCTCCATAAAGGAAGAATAATATGAAATCAATTTTCCGTAAAAAAATATCTGAAGTCTCTAAAATAAAGATAGCATCTTTAAAACCATAGAAGTAGAAATATCCCCTCAATCTTTGGACTTGTTGGTAATTATCAATTAAGTTTAATGCCACTTGGCTTATAATTCAATTAGCATAATTGGAAAGAAAGGTAATGAATCATGAAACATACATATATACAAAGATAGACAAAGACAAGAGAAAAAAAAGAGACTTGTTTCACTTAAAGATTAAAAAAAAAAACAGGTCACCTATTTTAAAAGATTAAAAAAACACAAGAAAAAGTAAACTTTAACATTATTAAAGATAGAGGTTATTGACCCAAACATTTATTTTTGGCAATTTTTCTTTTTATCGAAATTTTCTGGGAAAAAACACCCTTTTTTATTATCTTTTAGAACATCTGTTGAGATAAAAATAGAAAGTTGAAAAATTGGAACCTTCAGGTAGCTTTTTTGCCCTGGCTTAATTTCTTAATCAACTTTTTCTGGTTCAAATGAAAAATTAGTTCCAGAGATTTTTGATATAAAAGAAATTGAATCTAATGAAAACTGGCCTGACTGCATATGTTTCATATCCAGTGTTTTAATTTTAACATATCATTTTTGAATTTTTTTTTTTTTTTTTTTTGAAAAACTATTGAGTACAAAATCTTAAATGAATTTTTTAATGTTATGAAGCGAATATTTTAGTTATTGATTAAAAATAATAACAATATAAACAAAACTGCTTCAAATCAAATTTATAAAAGCAATATATATTAAGCAAATCAAAAATATTTCTAGAGTTTATACAATCACTCACTTCTTTATTGATTTGCTTTTTATTCACAATGCTATTTAACTAAAATAACTAAACCATTTTACTAAGGATTTTAGGTTTTTTTTTCCTAATTATTTTATTCTTGTTCTAAATCAATACTGCAATTTATAAACAAAGTTTCAAACTTTATTATAAATGTATCTACTTTGAAAATCATCGGCACTTAAACTATGCAAAACTTAAACTATGCAAACTGTACCCTATATAATATCTGAACTTTTGTCAAAATCTTCTACAACAATGTTATTCAATGACATTAAATTTTCTATTATTATTTTACGAATGCAATAGCTATACAGGTAATTTAAGCCTTAAATAGCGCACTGCACAGAATGCATTTTAAATACTACCATACGATAATGAAGATGTTTACGTGCAATTTAGTTTGAAAAACAAGATGATTTTCTTTCGTCATAGATAAAAATATTTTTAACACAAGGCAGCTAGAGTCAAGTAACAAATGAGTCAATATGATTTTGCCTATTTCCGAAAATGAAACCATGTTGTTGATTTTTGTTGTTTTGTTTACATATACTTTGTATTTATTATTATAACCATTTGACCATTCTAAATTAATATATATATTTCACATTAACATGTTTAATACTAAAGTAGCTCTGAAACTTATATTTATATCACATGTAGCAGTTAAACAATTTTTACTCAGATAGCATAAGATATATTTTTTTTATTTTTATTTATTTGGGTTTTGTGTCACACCTATACAGTCAAGGTCATTTGGCGACTTTCCAGCTTTACTGGAGGAGGAAGACCTGAGGTGCCCCGCTGTGTAGCACTTGAGCAGAACCACTGACATTATGTAACCTAGCTGGAGAGAAGATATATTTAGAAAATGCTCCCAGTAGTTGTAACGCATTTTAACCTTTTTATCAGAAAAAAATTTCAAAACATTTTTCGAAAAATGTTATTGGCCATGTAAATTTTTTTTTAAGAATGTGAGGTGATAGAAGTGGTAGGGCTTCAAACAGAAGATCAATCACTTCAATCTTTCATAAAACTGTTATTTTCAAGATTAAAAAACAAACACCATTTATCCCAAACTAAACTTTCGACACTTGGACTAGAATTTCATGAGAAATATTAAAAATATCCAGATTATATTTGATCTTGACAATTTTGCTTCCCATGAAGTCAACTGAGTTTTGACATTAAGTAAGCTTTGTTACAAAAAGATGAAATAATATGTTATAAACTTATTTGATACAAAAACTTTCAAACCCCTTCCAATGAGGAAAATTGAGGTATTATTTGCAGGTCTCGAACGATTTACAAGTTTTTTCCTTATTACGCGTACAATGACTTATCAATTATTGTTTCATATGAAACTTTCACGCCATTTCCATGTCGAACAAATTAGTCTTAACAGACTTGAAATTTTCCTACAAACATACCAATAACATTTTTTTTTGTTGGTTTATTATTATTTTTCCAGTTCTTTTTAAAGCTATTATGCTTCTTTTTTGTGTATCACATAAATATTTCTTGTCAGAAGACTTAAAATACTTGTTTATTTGATGTTTTACTTATCAAAACAGAAATATTATTTGGAAAAAGAAAAAAGGCTTCAAAGACTGATCTGTGTCATACACATGCAGGAAAACACCAAAGCATCCATGCAACACGGATGTTTGCACAATACTCATAGTATATCACAACAGTAAAAGGTAAACTAACTAAAAACAATGAGGGGGTAGGGGGTATCAACATGCAATCTCATTGACATTTATATTCTGACCTTTTAAAACCATTTATTTTCTCATTACAATTACTTTTTTCCATTTAAATCATGTATCTAAATAAATACTCATAATTATGATTGGACATCTTTTCTTGAAAACTGCTTGACGCCTACATTCTTTTTTATATTTTTTTTTTTTAAATTATTCTCAAAAAATGGCTGTACATTAGGTTTTAATTAAAACATATTATAGAAAATACCCAGACATCTTAACTATAATCAAAACTATTTTAATTAACAATTAGATGGACATCTTCATTTAAGTTCTAATACCTAAATTTAGTCCTCATTTCTTGCTAAACCACTTTAAACACAATAAATAAAACTTAAATCGTTGAATTAACTAAATGAACACTTCCCCTTAATTTCCTCATAAAATCATATCAAAGAGTCTGTGTGTACTTAATAACGGTCTTCATTACATCATTTTTGTACAAAGAAAATGTACCGGAAGCTTTTTCGCTCACGTTTCTGCTTTCAAATGTATAACGTTTCTGTTTTAAATTGACCAATTCAAGATAAAACAAACAAAAAATCAACTCAACTTTAATCAGACACAGTCTAAAGATTTCATTAAAGAACCAGGCCAGTTAGAAGAGATTAATTCAGCCTCTCTTTTATCACTTTTTTCTTCTATCACATTTTACTAACATTCAATGAAACAAGAAAAATTCTTCAGTTTTCACTATAAAAGATGTCTGTTTGATATCATATAAAACAGACCTTAGTTTTTAGTGTCTTAATTTTTTTTTTTCATGTTCTACACTTATTTCCTGTATCAAACCTGACATTATAATCTTATCGTCTGCCACTTTTCGGAAAACTTGTTAAAAAAAAAAATTAAAAAATTCAATTGGAAAACAAACAAAAATGATGATGCAAAGATATTTTTTAATAATATTTTCCTTATTGATTGACCAAAAAATGAGATAGTTAAGTAAATGAGGATAAAAAATTGTACTGTCAGTGATTTGAAAACCAGAATTTTGTAAAAAAACAAACACCAAAACCAACAAATCAGTATGAACACTGACTGTTTATCTGTTTACTTTGTTACTTTTATCTTTTATTTACTCCATTAAAAAAATTTAATATTTCAGACACTAACTTAAACCTATATTAATTCAGTAATAGCTTTTTTATGAAATGCATCAATTCTGAAAGCTTATACACTATTTTACTTAATGCTGTATAATTAACTTCTGAACTGGGACGTCATGAGACAGAATTGAGATGTCCTTAAAAGCAGGTTTAACAGTAATGGTTTTTCACTCAATTAGTTTGCAGGTATAACTATGATTCTTTGTTGTAACATGTTTAAATTTACGAAGTTATTTTTCATATCAGTCTGTCTAATATGACAGCCTTTTAATAAGATTTATAAAGTCAGACGCATTGAACTTATTAAATCAAAAGATTTTTTTTTTTATTCCCTATTGTTTTTGTTTACATAACCAGGAAGTATTGTCCTTCCAGATTAGTTTTCAAGATTACGCGGTAATCGGGTGTAAAAATAGATCGTAGTTTCATTTTCGCTTCATGGAAACACTCTTTTTTTTTCATAAATACATGGCACAAAATGTATTTTGACAATATAAAGTACAAAAGGTAACTGTCTATGTATAGATACACAATATGAGAGTATATAAACACTTATTGCACACTTTACATTTTTGTTACTATTTATAGTACAGATTCTACTTGTGGCCTTGACCTGTCCTTACCTTGAGTCTGTAAACTTGACTTTGCATGGGGCACTTTTGAATTCTTTTCCTTTCATATTTTTTTGTAATTTACAAACATAATCAATTTTGCTTTATGTCATAAAATTGATATAAAAGTTAGCAACCGAAAAAGCTAATATATATAAAGCTAAGTTCCTTTTTTAATATAATCCGTTGTAACCTATAAAAAATAGTTCAGGCTATTTAAGAAAGCAAAGATTTCAGAAATTATTTTGAAAGTATCAGAGATATAAAAGCTTCTTGACTGCAAATTAAAGTGTACACAAATTACCAAAGGTGTTCAAAATAAGCCCATTGACACAAATCTTATAGGTGTACAAGAAAATTGAATTTGATAATTATATATCTCTTTAAATAAAGAAGTATATTTTCGTACAATTGCAAAAGCCAAGCAGAGTTCAGACCTGAACCTCTCAGAAAACAAAAGTGACCCAGCTCTGAGTGAAGAAAGACAACAGAAAGAAGGCCCAATAAAACATGTAGTGTTGTTGTTGTTGTTTTGTAAAGACTTACGATCTTGGGTTTATATGGTGGCTGAACTTCTCGATTTTCTATCTTCTCCCACATAATTCTCTTGAAGAAAGCATGGTCTTTGAAATCTCTCTCCCCAGTTGGGCCGCAACCCAACCGTTTCACAGGATTCTTGGTGAGTAGCTATGGAAATAATGGAATGAACCAGACATGTTAAAAACAAGAATGTATTGTGTACTTAAATGATTACGATGAAAGGTTTCATAAAATGAATTTTAATTCAAAACTTTGACTATACTGTTATCCAGCTGAAATTTTGAAAATGAAATGATTTCACACACTGCATAAAAGATATTGAGATTTTTCAAGGCCTATTTATCAGATTTACCAGTAAATAATTATGACATTTAAGTTAACAGTAAATGATCTGTTAAGATACTCTTTTCTTGACTGCAGTCTGGCCTGATTTTGTACTTGATGCACATGGGTCTGGGATTGTTGCCTGTAGTATCAAATTATCAAAAGATTTTCTTAGTATGGCCAACAGGACATAATTATGACATTGTAATTACAAATCATTTAACATAATAAAACATTTTTATTTTGTTTGTTTATTTAGTTTTATGGTGCACCAACACGAAAGATGATTTTCAGGCTAACCTTGGGTATTAGTACTATTACAGACTTAAAGCTACACCAGGGGTCAAAACCACCTTGCCTGCTCAGGAGAGACTCCAGTAATTCAAACCCATCTAGTCACCTCAACCCTTAAAGGCAACCCCTCAGCCACACTTCATACCTTAATTTTAGTAAAGAAGATAGATATAGAGATGATATAGATATGGAGATACATTAATGATATAAATTACTACACACTGATACGCACACACTATCATTCAAATACACAAATGTACATGTTAATTGTGTAATACATGTATTGATATTTGCTTTATTAATTAACAAACAATTGTACTCTTTAAACATAAAACATTTAGTGAATCATTTTCAATATTGTACATAGCTTTGAAATGTTTCCTTTGGTTCAAAATTGAAACAAAATAAAACAAGAAAGAAAATCAATTAAAGGGAGACAACTCTTTTTAAATAATTGTCTACAAAACTAAGCCCTTTGTAGTTACATTCTCTTAGCATTCTTGTAAGCTAGCTGAAGGGCAACCTTTCAACATTTATGTAAGATTCAAACTATCAAAAGTCAAGGGTAAATGATTTCACTTCTGTGAATATAACTGCCTTGTCAATGAGTTACCAAAGTATAGGCACAACAAAATAATTGAGAAAATGGAAACTTTGGTAATCTCCAGGAACAGACCCCTATGTTTATCAGTGTCAGTATTTTATACAGTAATACAGTACAAATATGGTGGTGTTGGTGGTATTTGAAGTTTTCACTCCAGAGCACGGCAGTAAGCCACATTGAATAAAAGTTCAGCCACTGCATCATTCAGGAGCAAGTTGTCAAGCAGTTTACCAGTACTAGTTGCCTTCATTTTCGCAAGGAACTGTTACTTTCTGTACATGCCAGAGCAGAGGTACAGTGCGAAAGCCTGCAGAAAGGATTTTATGATCAATCACAACGAAAGTGTCTTGCACTGTCCGGGAATCGAACCTGGGTTGCCAGATTCAAAGTCCAACACTACCTACTGAGCTAACCGAACAGCTCACAGTACAAATATTGAATAAGCTTACTATATATACTCCTGTTTTAATTCAGGATTATAGACGAAACTTTAAAGAGTGCTAAAATTTAGAATGTTGCCTGCTCAGTTTAGTTGAGCTTTTAATATCTCACATAATTTGAGCCGCATCATGACAAAACCAACATAGTGCGTTTGTGACCAGCATGGATCCAGACCAGCCTGCGCATCTGCGCAGTCTGATCAGGGATCCATGCTGTTTTTAACATACACTATAACAAGTAAAGAAACTGATAGCGAACAGTATTGATCCTCATGATCAGACTGCGCAGATGCGCAGGCTGGTCTGTATCCATGCTGGTCGCAAACCCATTATGTTGGTTTTGTCATGGCGGGGCTCAAATGGTGGTGGCAATTCTGATGCCTCAACCCTCAAAGTCAACCACTCAGCCACACTTCATACCGTAATTTTAGTAAAGAAGATAGAGAAAATAACTTGATATAGAGATGATATAGATATGGAGATACATATTAATGATATAAATTACTACACACTGATATGCACACACTATCATTCAAATACACAAATGTACATGTTAATTGTGTAATACATGTATTGATATTTGCTTTATTAATTAACAAACAATTGTACTCTTTGAAAATAAAATATTAAGTGAATCATTTTCAATATTGTGCATAGCTTTGAAATGTTTCCTTTGGTTCAAAATTGAAAGCGTAAAATACTGACAAAATAAAACAAGAAAATCAATTAAAGGGAGACAACTCTTTTTAAATAATTGTCTACAAAACTAAGCCCTTTGTAGTTACCTTCTCTTAGCATTCTTGTAAGCTAGCTGAAGGGCAACCTTTCAACATTTATGTAAAATTAAAAAAAAACAACAGTCAAGAGCAAATGATTTCGCTTCTGTGAATGCAACTGCCTTGTCAATGAGTTACCAAAGTATAGGCACAACAAAATAATTGAGAAAATAGAAACTTTGGTAATCTCCAGGAACAGCCCCCTTTGTTTATCACTGTCAGTATTATACAGTAATACAGTACAAATATGGGGGTGTTGGTGGTAAAGAAAACTGATAGCGAACAGTAAAGAAACTGATAGCGAACAGCATTGATCCTGATCAGAATGCGCGGATGCGCAGGCTGATCTGGATCCATGCTGGTTGCAAACCCATTATGTTGGTTTTGTCATTACGCGGCTCATATTTGCTTCTATAGAAACAATTTATTAAGAAATGTATACCCCTTTGCAGATAGCCACAGCCTCTCTTGACATGGATTTAGGATAGGACACATTATGGTCTGTGATTGATGTAAACAACTCCTCCTCATCTTCTCCATCAAATGGTGGCTGTAATAATATATAATCATGATAATTACAATGTCATCAGACAACTAAATATTTCTGTTATTTCTTTTCCTATTTAATTCAATTACTGATATCTGATGATGGAAATCCTTTGAATTAGACACAGTGTATTTTGTTTTGTATTAAAGCTTTTGTCAGTCTTGTTTGGCTTCCAGAATTCTATCAGAATGTCATTCCAATGTTAAAATTGTCAAGAAATTGTCAGGGATATCTAATTAGGAAGTCATATCAAAAAATTATAGACGATGCTGAGCTAGATTCTTTCATATTTTCTGAGAAACATTCAAGTTAAAGAATATGACAATGATCAAGACATTTACCCCCAAGTCATTTCCAAGGAAAATTAGCTTTCCTTCCCGATATAATAATGCCACTGAAGCTTCATATATAAATGACAGTTAAAGTTTGATTGTAAAATTGACCTCTCCTGCTATGAATTGGAAATACATGTAAACATTTCAAAACATCAAAATAAAATTAAAATATCTAACAACAAACAGAAATGTCTTGTGATTAAGCAGAAAATCGTTGAATTTTCTGAAATATAATTCATGGGAAACAACTCTTACAAGATATACAGATAGAGAATGGGAAGAGTTTCTTTTCCTTACACTTTATGGCTTAACAGAACATGCTATTTTTACTTTTTATTGTTCACTCTCTTTGCTTATATGCCCCATTCTCACAGTCCTGATTTGACTACATGGTTGGTTCTAGATTAGTGGTCCAAGAGAAACTTTGTTAAACCATAGAACAATGGTTTAGGTACATCCTTATTATTCAGGTGCAGTGCATGTCTGAACAAGGACAATTCCTGCATTTTTAAGCAACTAGGTATAATTAAAATCAGTCAGGGGTGCCCCTGTTCAGCTATGTTAGTATCAAGCGCCAAATTAGTCTTATTTCAAGCTTGGTACGAAAGCGCTCTGCCCGTCCATGCAGATTCACAAGAATCAATATTGTTTGTTGCATTATTTTAGATATAATTTTGATACAGAAATCACTCAAATAAATAACAAAACATTTCAAATTCAAAGCAAAACAGATCCATTACACAAATTCTGCTGGGTAATAGCTAGATATAATGATAATAAAATTCATTTCATAACAAAGCAAATCTTTATTGCGGAGAATTTTATCATAAAGAGATTCTTTTTTGTGCACAAAATTCTTTATATCCCAAAACGGTCATTAAGAAACTGATATCGGCCTTAAAAATGGATAGCATTGCATCTCAGGGTCTACAAAAAGAGGAAAAACATTTAACCTTGTGTCTGCATGGTAGGAGAAAACATTTTAGATTAAACCTGCTGCTGTGCAATACGACACCCACTGGAGTAATATTTTTCCCGTTTTAGAAAACTTCTATATACAATCAAATGTATGGCACTTCCTGTACAGATCCGCGGGGGAATGTTCATAAAATTCTGTATAAGCGTAATTCTTTGAGTATGTTTGATGGAAGTTATCTTCAAGGGTACCAACCCACACACAAAATATATACATGTAGTTTAAACTGGTATTACAAGTAAAGCCCTAACTTTTGATAATGATCATTTTTCAGAAAACGGTAAAAATCATTGTGTGGGATAGCAGCTTAAAAAAAATAACTTAGTCTTTTGAGGTTTTTTTTCGTAAGTCAGTTCTGATGAACATCAACAGTTTTTGCTTGTGTCATATATCAGACATAAAGTAAACAAAACATACTATTACTTGAAAACATTATAAATTCTTTCAGAAACAGAAAATCACGGAATCTTGCCCTGTCCTCTAAAAAACTTAATCCACCCTTGTGACAAGTACAGACCAAGATCAGCTTGGACATCAATGCTGAACAGTCTGCAATGTTTGCTATTCAGTCAGTGCTTATTTTATAATTTTCCATAGATAAAATGAATGGTTTTGTCCAGATTGAACAAAGGATTAGTCCATCTAAGATAGATATTTAGCAGGAAAAAGGTTAAATACACAGGCAATCTCTGGCCAATATCAAACAAACAGTATTATATACTAACCTGTCCTGCCAACATTTCATACAGTAAGACACCATAGGCCCACCAGTCCACTGATTTACCATAAGGTTGATATAAAACAATCTGAAAATAATGAAAACTGACCATATCTAGGATAAAAGATAAAAGCACCTTTTATATGCATTTTTAAAAATGGCATAAACATACAGCATTTTTTTAACAATGGCATAAATACAACAGCTCATTTCAAATACTGTATGATTAGAAACTTAAGTTTTCGTTTATGGTTAAATACTAAAAAAATAGCTTTCTTTTCCTTTTATTTTTATCATATACCTAAATAAATATTTTTCAATTTCTGAACCATGAGTATCATAAACATGTGGCCAATATTGGATTCATTGAGTGATTCCTGATAAATAAACCTACACGAATATAATAATTCATTTATCACATATCCAAAATAAAGACTGTTTAAAGTGCAAAAGAATCTTTTTTCATTGACGCACCTATTGTGTAACACTATCATTAAGTGCATCTTTACACTATGTTTGTATAACGCAAAATATATGCACAGCTGTGCAATACCATTTTTTTACGGAATCGCAAAATCAGCTTGAGTTTGGGATAGCTTGCGCTATGGAAGGTCAGAATCATTTTCCTTTTCAGTAATTGCCTACATATTTGGAAGAAAATATTTGACGTCATTTGATATCCCTGGAATCAGCAAAGGTATGGTATGTAAAAATCATAAAGCTTTTGACTGTTCACATACATGTATGGTAAATAAATAAAGTAATTAAATAATTCTAGGCAAACATAAACAAGAGCACCGCTAGGCGGAGCATTATATGCCCGAAAATGTTTTTTTTTATATTAAGGATGAAGCATTTGTAAGACATTATATAAATTAAATAAAGTATTACCTCCTTCCAATAGCAATCCTCCTATAAAGTTTGAATATTGTGGGCCAAATAGACCTTAAGTTATGCTCCAGAAACTGTTTTCAGTTTTAAAGTAATAGTGACCTTGACCTTTGACCTTGTGACCCCAAAATCAATAGGGGTCTTCTACCCAATATGGACATTCATCCTATGAAGTTTGAACACTGTGGGCCACATGGAACTTAAGTTATGCTCCGGAAACTGTTTTCAGTTTTAAGGTAATAGTGACCTTGACCTTTGACCTTGTGACCCCAAAATCAATAGGGGTCTTCTACCCAATATGGACAATCATCCTATGAAGTTTGAACACTGTGGGCCAAATGGAACTTAAGTTATGCTCCGGAAACTGTTTTCAGTTTTAAGGTGATAGTGACCTTGACCTTTGACCTTGTGACCCCAAAATCAATAGGGGTCTTCTACCCAATATGGACAATCATCCTATGAAGTTTGAACACTGTGGGCCAAATGGAACTTAAGTTATGCTCCGGAAACTGTTTTCAGTTTTAAGGTAATAGTGACCTTGACCTTTGACCTTGTGACCCCAAAATCAATAGGGGTCTTCTACCCAATATGGACAATCATCCTATGAAGTTTGAACACTGTGGGCCAAATGGAACTTAAGTTATGCTCCGGAAACTGTTTTCAGTTTTAAGGTGATAGTGACCTTGACCTTTGACCTTGTGACCCCAAAATCAATAGGGGTCTTCTACCCAATATGGACAATCATCCTATGAAGTTTGAATGTTGTGGGCCAAATGGAACTTAAGTTATGCTCCGGAAACTGTTTTCAGTTTTAATGTGATAGTGACCTTGACCTTTGACCTTGTGACCCCAAAATCAATAGGGGTCTTCTACCCAATATGGGCAATCATCCTATGACGTTTGAATGTTGTGGGCCAAATGGAACTTAAGTTATGCTCCGGAAACCAAATTGCTAACGGACGGACGGACGGACAGACGGACGGACGGACGTTCTCACAGGACAGTAATTACGTGGCTACTCTATTGTTCTCTCTATTGTTCTTTTTAGCCACACAAAAGAAAATAGCCACATAAAAGCATTACGGAATGAACAGTTACCTATTGTCCCTCTAGCCACATAATTACTCTCCTGTGAGTGCGGATAGACAGACGGACGGACGACAGGGGGTATAACATAATATGCCCGAAATTCTTTCGGGCATATAAAAAGGATTTTACAGCATCGATGATTTCTAAAAATTATAGTAATGAGAACCTAGGAAAGACTACAAATTTTAGTTTTTTGTTTTTTTGGGGTCACAAATAACAAATAAAATAGATTTCAATTAAAATTGGATTTCAAACTAAAAAGTTTTGTGTATTTAATAAATAATGAAGCAGAAAAATTGGTCTCATGTGTTTAGAAAACACATTATGGTTGAGAAATGACTCTGGAGGGAAAGCAGATATCAACAACGTAACAAGAGGGCCATGATGGCCCTGAAAACGCTCACCTGACTATAACTAGAACTGCCACTATCATGGCGTGAATACCCCCGCATACCACTTTGTCAGAATCAACAGTGGCCATTTAGAGCTCAAGGACAACCTCCCTACCAAATCTGAGGTTACTAAACCAGTGCATTGCTAAGTTATGTATTCTACATGCTTCAAATGTGAAAATGTCAAAATCAATACATTGCTGACAGGACATTCTTTAGCAATTGAGAAGAAAAGCTTTTTTTTTGTCAAGGTCCCTGTGACCTTGACCTTTGACCCAGTGACCTCAAAATCAATAGGGGTCTTCTTATAGTCATGATCAACATCCATGCCAAATATGAAGACTGTGGGTCAAAGGAATCTTAAGTTAATGGGTGGACAAACTTTTTGAAGTCAAAGTCCCTATGACCTTGACCTTTGATCCAGTGACCTCAAAATCAAAAGGGGTCATCTACTAATCATGATCAACATCCATGCCAAATATGACGACTGTAGGTCAAAGGAATCTTAAGTTATTGGGCGGACAAGCTTTTTGAAGTCAAGGCCCCTGTGACCTTGACCTTTGACCTAGTGACCTCAAAATCAATAGGGGTCATCTACTAATCATGACTAACCTTCATGCCAAATATGACGACTGTAGGTCAAAGGAATCTTAAGTTATTGGGCGGACAAGCTTTTTGAAGTCAAGGCCCCTGTGACCTTGACCTTTGACCTAGTGACCTCAAAATCAATAGGGGTCATCTACTAATCATGACTAACCTCCATGCCAAATTTGAAGACTAAGGGTCAAAGGAATCTTAAGTTATTGGGCGGACAAGCTTTTTGAAGTCAAGGCCCCTGTGACCTTGACCTTTGACCTAGTGACCTCAAAATCAATAGGGGTCATCTACTAATCATGACTAACCTCCATGCCAAAAATGAAGACTAAGGGTCAAAGGAATCTTAAGTTATTGGGCGGACAAGAAAAAACCGACGGACGGACGGCCGGACGGACAGACGGCCAGACGGACGGACAGCCGGACGGACGGACAAGCTGATTCCAGTATACCCCCCTTACAACTTTGTTGTGCGGGGGTATAAAAACTCTCCATGACAAGGAACAAGTAATATTGTAAACTATAAACAAAAGCAGATATAAAATCTAAATCTTAGAGTGATATCACAAAGTTCATATTTGTATCTGAAATAACACATGTGTAAAAACATTACTGGGGAAAACAACAGTTCCAAAATATGTGTGCATATGAAGGGCTATAACTCAATAGTGATCAGGCACTGCAACTCAATACAGTGTAAAAGGACTGTTACACATTTCATTATATAATATCTATTACTTATAACAAAATTTATGGACAAGAATTCATGAGAAAATGAAAAGAGCCACAACTCATTATTTTTCATCAAGCCTTCGGCTTCACATGTACAAAATAGCATTTCATTTTGAATTTATGGTTTAAGTCGCGTATTCAAAGGTTTAAATTTCCCGCTATATCACGGACATGCGCGTGACTACCGGAAGTAATAACCGGAAGCATGAAACACATGTTTTCACTTTTTGTTTTGGCGTTGTGGTTGTCGCGTGTTCTTGAAAGTTCAAGTGATTTGAAAAGTTATTTTACGTTTAACCGCATTATTATGGCCCAAGAGGCTCTTCTCGATAGGATAGACCTTCATGCTTCGGGTGAGGAGGGAGATTTTTCTGGGTTTTCGGACCAAGAAATTACCGGTAAGAAAGAGAAAAAGTCTTCGGACAAAAAACGGTTAAAATCCGTCGTGGTGGAGAAAGAAAATAAACCCCCTCGTGGTAAAGGCAAAAAACAGTCAGGTAAAACTTTGAATACTAATTCTTCGGAAATATCGGACAGAAATTTATCCTCGGATAAATTTGATTTGAAAAACTTATCTAATAAGGATATTGAAGGTCTTAGGACTCTTCTTGGTATACAGCCTGTTGTTCAACAGAATCCTCAGTTTCTTCCTGATTGTGATAACTATGACTATAATGAGGATAATTATGATTATATGGATGATGAATCTGTGAATGATAACTATTCTGCTGTTCCTGCAGCATTAAAACCTAACCTTAGGGTGGAGGTTGCTGCCCAAGATGTTGATATTGAAGATACAGGGATTCGTAATCTGTCAAAGATTTTTCTTCGGCTTTTGACGATGGTTGTACTGATAATAGACTTGAGTCGGAAAGTGATACATGGGATCTTCCCAAATTAAAAATACCAGAGAAAGGTGAGCCAGTGAATGAGTCCTTGGCCAATTTAATTAACACGGCATTTACTGCCCAGTGTGACTTAGACTCTATTTTGAATAAGTACCAAGTACCTAAGAATTGTGACAGGGCCATTCCGCCCATTGTTAACCAGGAAATATGGAAAACATTAGACAAAAGAGCCCATTTTCAAGATAAGTTTATGGTGGACATACAAAATCTTGTGGTTTCGGGCCTAGGTCCAGTTGTTAAGTTGCTTGAGTTTGTGAAAAAGAACAATCTTATGAAAAATGAGGCAAAATGTATCTTCTCTGACCTGTTTACTGTTCTGGGTCAGGTGCAATACAACCTCAGTTTGAGGAGGAGATATCTTATAAGACCGTATTTGAAGAAGAAGTATTCTTCATTGTGTAGTATTTCGATGCCTATAACAACCAAACTTTTTGGTGATGATGTTTCAAAAGAAGTCAAAAGTTGTGATGCTTTATCGTACA